CCAAGCGAGAAGCAGAAAGGGACCCCAGTGGGTTGCCACAAACCTGTCTTTTCTAAAGCTATTTATACACTTGATCTTAGTCAAAATGCTCATAAGTGATCAAGAGATCTTTATAGAGAAAATCCATGAGTTAAGGCAGGTCCCAGATGGGGAAAAATGGGACCTATGTAGGTGAGCACAAGGTGGGAGAATTTCTCATCAATCAGTCAAGATCATAAATGCAATTTCTCAAGGAAAATTGATTAAGTTGGTATCAAATGAATCAGTGAATCATGTAGGAATCAGATGTAAAAAAGTCATTTTAGAATGTCGATGCCTGGTGTCTGTCCCTAGGGGCATATATGGATAAATACAGACATTTGCATGTGAACTACCTTTTTGCTCCGTTGTCATTTTAACTGCTTTGCAAACAAACCTCAAAAATACACAGTGAGGAACAAAGGGCCTCAGTGTTCTTACAATGGGTTTTGGCCTCAGGATTTCCAACACTGTTTAGAGATATATCACACTGTTCATGCCCTCCAGCCTTTAGTTTCCTCTTGTCCCGTATTACCTTGTTTCCTAGGTCTTCTCCCCCTTCCTGCCCTTCCCTCTGGGACACATCCTACCGCGTTCCCAGGGAGCTGCAGACACAGAGGTTTTCTTCCCAGACATAGTTCATCTCAGTGTCTATGCTGGTCTTCTTCTTCTGAGCCTCAGTCCTAATATTCCAGAAAGCTGTCCAGGGCATGGGACTTTATGGTCAACATTTTCCTTCTATTTTCTGTTCCTGTCTCTTGGATAAATCTGTTTGCCAACCTCCACTCCATTTCAGCGACCAAATCCAAAATAGGTTTCCATTGAAAATTGCATGAGGGTGTACGCTTAGCCGGCGAAGAGGGGAGTCTGACGACTCGGAAATTTGAATACCACAGTAGCATGGAGTGTGACCTCATGGAGCCTGACATCTTGGAGTCGTTGGAAGATCTAGGTTATAAGGGTCCATTGTTGGAGGATGGTGCCCTGTCTCAGGCGGTCTCTGCTGGAGCCAGTTCCCCGGAGTTTACCAAACTCTGTGCTTGGCTGGTATCAGAATTAAGAGTGCTCTGTAAGCTAGAAGAAAATGTGCAAGCAACTAACAGTCCAAATTAAGCTGAAGAATTCCAGCTTGAGGTGAGTGGGCTGCTAGGGGAGATGAACTGTCCGTATCTCTCACTGACATCTGGGGATGTGACCAAGCGCCTGCTCGTGCAGAAGAACTGCCTCCTCTTGCTCACATACCTCATCTCAGAACTAGAAGCTGCCAGAATGCTCTTGTGTGAATGCTCCTCCAAAAAAAGCTCAAGAAGGAGGCGGTAGTGAGGTCTTTCAAGAGTTGAAAGGCATATGTATTGCTCTAGGAATGTCCAAACTTCCAGCCAATATAACTATGTTCCAATTCTTCAGCGGGATTGAAAAAAAATTAAAGGAAACATTAGCGAAAGTACCACCCAATCATGTGGGAAAGCCTTTACTGAAGAAGTCAATGGGACCGGCCCACTGGGAAAAGATAGAAGCAGTTAACCAAGCCATAGCCAATGAATATGAAGTCCGGAGAAAGCTGCTAATAAAACGTTTGGATGGGGGCTGGAGAGATGGCTCAGTGGTCTAAAGCACCTACTTGGAACAAGCTTGGCAAAGCACAGGGACCGCGGTTCAATCCTCCAGCACCACATGCCAGCCAGCCGCGCCCCCTGGTGGGCTGAGCTGGCCACACACACACACACACACACACACACACACACACACTAAATGTTAAAATAAAAAAAATTAAAAAAAAAACGTTTGGATGTCACCGTACAGTCCTTCGGCTCTGACAGAGCTAAGAGTCAGACAGAAAAAGTTAGCCAAGGCCTACCAGCCGAGGCTCTCAGTCTTATCTCCCAAAAGCACTGTTTCCGTTGCTCATCTCTTGGCTGCAAGACAAGACTTATCAAAGATCTTGAGGACAAGCAGCGGTTCTATAAGAGAGAAGACGGCCTGTGCCATCAATAAGGTGTTGATGGGCAGGGTGCCCGACAGAGGCGGTAGACCTAATGAAATCGAACCTCCACCCCCAGAGATGCCGCCATGGCAGAAAAGGCAAGATGGGCCCCAGCAGCAAGCAGGAGGCTGAGGAGGAGGGAGAGGTGGCTATGAACATTCCTCATATGGAGGACGAGGAGGTCATGAACAAGGAGGAGGGAGAGGCGGACGTGGTGGCTACGATCATGGTGGCCGAGGGGGAGGAAGAGGAAGTAAGCATCAAGGAGGCTGGACAGATGGAGGGAGTGGAGGAGGAGGTGGCCACCAAGAGGGCGGTTATCGTGATGCAGGTTTCCAGCCAGGTGGCTATCATGGTGGCCACAGTGGTGGCTATCAAGGCGGTGGTTATGGTGGCTTCCAAACATCTTCATACACAGGAAGTGGATACCAGGGTGGTGGATACCAGCAGGACAATAGATACCAAGATGGTGGGCATCATGGTGATCGGGGCGGTGGTCGTGGTGGGAGAGGTGGCCGTGGAGGTCGGGGTGGTCGTGGAGGCCAGGGAGGAGGGTGGAGTGGAAGGGGAGGCCAGACTTACCACCAGGGAGGTCAGTTTGAACAGCATTTCCAGCATGGAGGCTATCAGTATAATCATTCTGGATTTGGACAGGGAAGACATTATACTAGTTGAGGCTACAGAACCTTACATTTTGCTAGAGCTCAAGTAATAGAAACTTCGTTTCAGAATCCTGATTCCAGCCTCAGTTTGATTTATGTATGACCACAGGTGGCAGACAGACTGCTGCTTGGCATAAGCGTCTGGAGGTCTTCCATCATTTTATTTTTTATGGAGTTACAAGATGCAGTTTATTTGAAAAGTACATACAACATCTCTACTTTATATGAAAAAATTAAAAGGTAATTAAAATTGCCTTTAATTGACCAGTAGACTAATTCCACAGTCAGAACATGCACATTTTTTGAA